GTAGAGGGAGGAGTAGGGAAAATTTTTCATACTCTAGGGCCAGGGACAGATATTCAAAAAGCCTGAGCCGGAATTGATTAAGTCTTTGCAGGTTAGTCTAACCTGACTAGGCTAAATCACTTTTTAACTGCACAGACATCCCAGAAATGCAGGCACATGCCTGCAGTGGCTCAGACTAGAAGCTGGGGGGAGCTAGAGCAGCCCTCCCTTCCCTTCCACAGAACTGAACTAAGTGGAAACATGGTCAGGCCCTGCCAGGATGCCCAGCAGGAAATTGGTAACAGTGTTTATCACCCCATTAAGAAAACAACAGAGGGACATTACCAGCTACTTGTTGATTCTGCCTATTGACTCGGCACGGACCATAGCCAGCATGTGGTCTGCTAGCTAATACACAGATACCTCTCATCAAGAAAGAGCAGGGAGGGGGGAATTCCTGCTTAGCAGGGAGTGATGAGGGAGAGTGGGGAAGCAGCCCACAGTCTACGCCAAAGCTGCAGTCAGGGAGCAGAGGGGAGGGGCCAACCCTGCTGTGGAGCAGAGAGCCCTGCCCAGCCCAGCCCAGAGAGCATGCTGGGATGATGGGGGAGTCTGGTTTATCTTAAACCAGCAAGGGGTCTGGGACAGACATTGTATAAACTGGTTTGACCCAAATCAGTTAAATCTGATACTATATTCAACCAGGTTCATCTCAAACCAGTTTCAGTTATTTTCAAACTGGTTTATATGCACTGAATATCTGTTCTGTTACAAGTTTTTAAACCAGTTTCTGATCACATAAACTGCTTTATGTATAACGTCTGTCCCTAGCCTAGTAGGTTAGTAGACCTTTTTTATATAGTCATTGCCATAGAACATCATCCTAACATTTTTCAAAGAGGTATCCTGTCATACCTTATTAAGGAATAAGAATTTCATCTCATAACAGTAAGTAAAAATGAATAAAAGTAACTTGCTTTTCTTGGATTGTGTATTGCTAATAGTTTCTTCCCCCATTCTTATAATTTCCTATCATTGTTTGGACCAAATCCTGAATGGCATGGAAAAATTAGGCTGCAAAAAAAATTGCAAGGTTTTATCTTGGTCAGATTACAGTAGTATGAAGTAATGTATAACGTCTAAACTGTTGCCCCTGCTACACTTTAGATAAGGGACTGATCCCATAATTGTTGAAATAAATTGCCTGTTCCTGGTAAAGACATTAAGATAGAAATAAGTAGGTCTATTTGTGTGAATACCAACTACACAAATAAGTAAGGATCTGCAAAAGCAGGTCCTGAATAATAACGTACGTTCTACTAAAAATGGATCTGTGCTGGTTATGCTGTGTGCCCAGGACTGTTTGCCATAGCCCATCCACAGAACATGGAAGAGGCCTAAGCCAGCCAAAATAAATTGTCAAAGAGAAGGATGTGTGTTAAATTCAACAGTCCCAAGTTGCAGGTTTCTAGCTCTGAGCTGCTAGAAGATGCCAATGTGAAACTGGGATTCAGCCCAGAGCCCTTCCCTGGAGTTAGGTGCCTATGTCCATCTCTTTTAGAAAGGAATGACAGGCTCAGTCTTTACTTGAACAGAGACATAGTTAGCCATGTTAGTCTGATATCAAGTAAAAGGCAGGGTTGATTTGCATCTTATAAACTAACCAAAATAGATAAATATATCACAAGCTTTCATGGGCTGAAGCTCACTTCATCAGATCCTGTCTACTTTAGTTAGTCTATAAAGTGCAAATTTACCTTTCTGCTTTCAATCTTTTCATTTAAGACAGGAGTAGGAGACGACAATGGCACTTTTTTTATATATATAATGGCTTGGAAACCTCACCTGAGAAAGATGATTCATGGGCGCTGGTTCTTGCTCTGAGGACTGTTTGTATTTTGTCTATTGACTGAAGGAAAGTTTAAATATTTACATTAAACATCTGAATCCAGGATTCCCATATCCAAGTGAATGACCTGACTACTAGTGTACCGATTCATGCACTGGCCCAGTGATTCTGGCATGGTTGATTTGAATGGAAATGGGTTGTGCTTGCTCTGTTCTGTATTGAACTCAATGCTGTCTGTGTGCTTTAGGCTCAAACTTAACTTGAGACTCCCTAATGAGGTTAGACAGGAGATGTGCACCAGATCACCCACCCCTGCCAAGACAGAGGCACTCTTAGGGATGCACAGAAGTAGAACTCTGCATGCCTAAGATACCTTCCTGGAAAACCACTTAGGGCATGGACACACAAACAAGTTATTGTAAACGAAAGCTGAAATTTACAGTGTGCCAGATGCTATGTAGCATGTGCCTCTATGCAGACTGGTACCTTGTCATAGCTGAAAACTCCTGGCCTTTTGGCTAAGATGAGGCTGAATGGGGGCATCTAAACCTCAGGCCTCCAGGGCTAGGACTTGCATGTAGGATGCCAGTCTGGATATGGGGAGCATCTGAACCCCCCAGGCCTGGGGGCTTGGGACTTGCACATAGGATGCTGGCCAAGTTGAAAATATATGCTCTAGGGTTACTAATAGGCAAGTTATTGAGCTTGGCTCAGTTGGATTTGGAATTTAATTGGCTACTGAAAACTTAAAAAAAACTTTCACTGAGGGGAAAAAGTACAGTAGAGGGTAGATTTCATTCTACAGAGTAGAAGCATGCATACAGGCAGCTATGTGGAGTTACTGATGAGCAGTATATTCCTGCCTTCATGTAACTCACTGTAATTTATTTCTGTATTCATTCCTGGGTACCTAGGAACAACCAGATTCCTCAGTTGTTAGGTGAAGGTTTTGAGGTTCATATGCTTCAGCAGAAGTCAAATAATTGAGACTGGATCTAATGCATGCTGTTAGTACACTGCATATTGTTAATCCAGATGTTTTTTGTTTAGACCACTGCCCATACAATTGGCTTAAATCTACTATAACAGTTCTTATTGTAGCTAAGGTTTATAAGTTAAGGTATGTGTTGCTTAATGTTTCATTCAAACCGTTTTTCCAAGCTACAAATAGTCATTCTAGTATTGTGCATGAAAATTCACAGAGCACATCTTTGGGCATGTTTACATATGCTCAAGGGTGGTAGGTGGGGATGGGAGAAGGGGGCTTTAATTAAAACGCCCAGTGTGTCTCGTGTATCCGTATTGCCAGTCTCCAAAATGGTGGTGGGGGTGCTTTATCTAAACCTCATTGAATGAGCTTTAGATTAAGCGCCCCTACTGCCATTTTGAACCACAGGGATGCTGATGCATGAGATGCGGGGGCTGCCTGGAGTACAGTAATTACCACACTCCAGCAGACTTGATTTCATTCAGTTTGCTCCTATGCGCTGTAATTACAGTGTTTCGGAGCAGCCTCCTAGCTTGTGTACAGGCATTTCAGATGCTTGTTCTTTGGACAACCAGTCTATATCAAGGGAAGAGAATTCACATTGAAGATGCTCAGGAAGTTTACAAGATTAGGCAGGTAATCACTAGTGCTGTGCCTAATAAACCAATACTAAATTTTGATTTCACTTTTAACCAAAGACGAAATATAACTTATCACCACATAGTGTTTAAGTGGAAGAATGCATTTTGATCATCTAAACCTAAACAAAACAGATGTTCCCCTCATTGCCACAGCAGGGGCAGCCTTGCATAGCACTGCCGAGCCACAAGAGCTGTGCCAGCACTGTCCTGCACCCAGTGTATCTGGGCTATAGGGAGCCAGTTGGGTGACCAGAATAGTGCTTTGCCTTCCCCTACACACCCCCACACAGGGAGTCTCTGCCACAGCAGGCACAGCTCTGCACCCAATGACATATTGGGGCAGGGAGGGTAGGAACTAACGGGGCGTCAGGGGTTGCTCCTAGGGCATTATTGGGCTGCTGTTTCGAGCATCAACACTGATACAGCACACATGGTAGCGGTAGCGGCTGCCATCACAGTGCAGTGGCAGGTAAGACTTCCCCCTTCCTTTCCCCTTGCACCTCACCCCTGCTCCCCCTTCTTTGCAATGCTCAGCATGTCTTCTCCCACCCCCCACCCTGCCCCACACCCAGTGCTGAAGGAGCTTGTTACACCTTTGTAGAGGTACAGGCTTTTCACCAAAAAAGTAGCTGATCAAACCCAAACCAGGTTAGCAGTTATCATAATAATATTGTCACTTGTCCAAAATGGAGTTTAGTGGCTGTTTTGCCATGGTCTGGTATATGTGTAGTCATACTGGCACTTTTATTAGGCAGTCTTTTGTTCATTATTGTTATTAAAAAAGCAAAGACTTTTTAATGAGTACTGTCTTAAGTTGGCCTTTTGCTCTTAAGAGCCAACAGGGTACAAGGGTATAGACGGGGAGTTTCAGAAACCTGTTCCATGTATGAACAAAATCAAAAAATATATTAAAATTCATTGAGCATTAGATTTCTATAAAGAAGTCTAAATAAATAGCATGCTTGAAAGAAACAGTTTCAGATGACATACTATATTTTACCTGCCTTATTACACTATGTACAAAATTGAGATCTTGATTTAATCCTACGTGGAAACAATTAAGCATAAAAGATCTAATCACTCCCTGTCTGCTCTGTGAGCAAATGCAGTTTCTCATCTATGCTTCAACCAGTCCTATCTAGAGCTAATACACAAAGATGCCATGTATAACACAGTTTTTCACTTAATGTTGAGTTAACTTATGGTGCCCATGTAAAGGGAAGAAAACGTAAATTTGTTGGGTTTTCTGGAATTTTTTTTGCTACTTTTAAGCATGAGTGTTCATGCTAATGAAATAATGGCTTACCATTGTGTGTGTTTCGTGGGAAAGATTTCTGTGGTACCTTTTGGGTGCTAGTGCTTGTAACCTGACCTTGTAACAAAAATTATATTCATTTGTAACAGATCTCTTACAAACAGAACTTCCTTTATTATTCCAAAGCCATTGTACCTCTGTTGATAAAGAAAGGTTTTGGGGGGTTTGGGCTTTTTTTGCTTTATTCAATTTTCAGTGTGTCTGAATGTTTCCTGTTTATCATTTTAGGAGCACAGAAGTCATGAGTACTGTCTCAGGTACCCGAAGTACAACCATCACTTTCACTGTCCGGCCTGGAACCAACCAGCCGATCACACTGCAGAGCAGGTCCCCAGACTATGACAGTAGGACATCGGGAGCAAGACATGCTCCAAGCCCTGTGGTTTCACCAACAGAAATTAATAAAGACATCATGCCTGCTCCTCTGACTGCTTCTGCTTCAGCTACATCTCCTTCTCCAACTCTGTCTGATGTATTTAGCCTACCCAGCCAGCCTCCTTCTGGGGACTTATTTGGCTTGAACACAGGCCGCAGCAGGTCTCCTTCTCCCTCAATATTACAACAGCCAATCTCAAATAAGCCTTTTACAACTAAGCCTGTCCACCTGTGGACTAAACCAGATGTGGCAGATTGGTTGGAAAGTCTAAACTTAGGTGAACATAAAGAAACCTTTATGGACAATGAAATAGATGGCACCCATTTACCAAACCTTCAGAAGGAAGACTTGATAGACCTTGGAGTGACTAGAGTTGGGCACAGAATGAACATAGAAAGAGCTTTGAAACAACTACTGGACAGATAAGAATGGCTCCTTTTGCCTCACAAACTTCTCTTCATAAGTAGAGATGGGCTGGTACTGAAATACCTAAAATGCCTTGGCCACCTGCGAGTGCCAGCAAAAGAAATTGGTTTAATTTAGCTCCTGGTACTCGGGTCATGCAGACTGCATGTTTAATGCCCAAACACGAACCTACATAAATGAAATTAATAGGACCATTTTATTTTGAAGGTGTGGGGAGAGATGAGGAAGAGAGATAACTGTTAACTTTAAAAATGTTATCTATCCATTAATAATGCCTTTCTGCTGGGATCAGAACATACATGTTTCTTTTTCATTTACAACCATAAACATTTCACTTATTCACAGAAAGCACTATACTGGTTTTCAGTTCTTGATACTCTTGTCATATGCTCTTCTAAAAATGTTGGGCTTTGTTTTGTTTTGCTTTGCTTTTTATATATGCATGGTCAATGCTTCATTACCTTTTAAACCATTTTTATCAAATATAGGTGCTTGATTTCTTGGTAAAGGTGTTTGTGGTATTGGGGATTCTGGTTCAAAGGCAACTTTGTTCTGCTTTACTTTGGTATTTCTTTATTTCTGCATTTACACTTAGTACACTTCCAAGGTGGCAGAACAGCATTCTACATATGCTCTATGGACTTGATCAGTAGTAGGTGGAAGGGAATTCTCAGTCAAAGGTGAAACACAGTTAAGCTAGTTTAAACTCAAGATACCCATTTTTCAACCAGGTAATGGCTACTAAGGCACAACATACATTTTAATGGAATCATAGTGTGTTAGTTGATGACATGAAGTGCATCCTTTAGATGTTTTTAATCTGATTTTCAGACATGCTAGGCAGGATCTTAAGGGACTCATCATGTCTGAAATCTGTCTTAAAAAAATCTAAAGGATGCACTTCATGTCACTGACTGACACTATGATTCCATTAAATGTATGGTGGGTCTTAGTAGCTGGCTAGAAAATGGGACTATTTTAAATGGATATCTCAAGTGGTGATTGAAAAGAAAGACTAATGTTCCCACTGATGTTAATAGAAATTTTGCCTCTGACTTGTATAGGAGCAGGATTTGGGCCTTTTAATAGGAATATAAATATTTCAGTAGGTGACCATTCTACTGACCATAGTTTTGTTTTGGTTTTTGAAGGCTTAAGGTTTGAAAGGAAAGGGGTTGAATATTGACTGGCTGCTTCTATAGCAGGGCTCAGTTTTGTTTTGTTTTTTCCAGGAGAGAGCATCCATGTCAACGATGCAAAAATTTGGCCTGTTTAACTTTTTTAAACAGAAAAAGTTAACAAGTTTCTCTCTGTTTCTGATCTTCTCTTGAAATTAACACATCGTGAATTTAGCAAATTTTGTAAATTTTACTTTCTAAATAATAATATTCAGTGTATGCATGGTAGGTAAATCGTGTGTGGGTAGCCAGATTTTTGCCTACCATGACAGGTTTTCCCACACTTTGAAAAGTACCTGAATTCTCTTCCCTTAATATGGTCCAGCCTATCTCTAATTTTTTTCCCTTTGTTTTTTTTTTTTTCTTTCTATCTTTCTTCCTTTCTTTCTTTTTTCCTGACAACCAAGTGTCTAATTAGGCCTGCAGCAGCCCTAGAATGAGTACATACAGTTTAGCAATTTAAATATCTTTCTTTACTGCAAGTTTAAATAGTTGTACAGATAGTTTATAAGCACAATATTTTAAGAAAATAAGTGGCTGGTCTACTGGGCAGCCTTTGTGCCACTTCAGTGCTAGAAAGTTAAAAACAAAAACAAAAAAACTTTTGTGGTTTAATACTATTTCTGTGGAATAATTATAAAAGTCTCAACCTTTTTAAAATCAACCTCATTTGGATGCATCTGAACCAGCAGAGCTGTGTTATATTTTCTATCTTTGCTAGAACTTCTTCAAAGGAGGATGAGTATTTCTTCAAAAGTGGTTACAGTAAACAATGCATTGGATACTCACAAAAAGCTACTATTCAACCTCCTTCCCCCTTTCTGGAACAAGTCTTTTGACTTAACATCTGTTGCTATAATATATTTGTATTTGAACGTTCCAAGTAACCTTGTAATAAAATTGAAGTATTAAGGCATTTTACCTTCAAGAGTACTGAATTTTTCCATAGTTAAATGGATATTGTTGTAGAGAACAACGGTTTCATTCAGATATTCAGTAATGGCACCTCAAGGCCATAGAATACTTTTAAAAGTGTAAAAATGGTAATTCAGCCATCATTGTCTTCCATTTGGTGATGATACAGAATTCAGTAAGTAAACCACTAATGCCATGCTCCTTTTTTGTTTCCCTGAATACAGTTGGTATTACCTCTATAATATGTGCCAGAAAACACATTAGATAATATGGTAGTAAAAAAAATGTAGAGGATACTTTTAAGCTGCTTTTTCATCACAACTTTATTGTTGAATTTAGGTTTAATGAGTGCTGACATACACAGTAAATTACAGCAGATGGTAATCCCTTTCTTAAACAGGTGTGTTTCTTGCTTATGTATCTTTTCAGGCACTTAAAGAATAGGTACAGTATAATTAGTAGAAAAGAGATTAAAAACATTTAAAGAGCTAATGAAAGTTTATTTTTACATGTGTCTTAATGAACTAAAGGTAGAGGCCTGAAAGGACCTACTTTTACCAATAAAATACACCTCTGCCAAGATGAATTGGTCTCTAGCTCTGTTTGATTTTTGCTACAGAAAGCAATAGTAACAGACACAACATTGCCTCCTAATATTTTCAACAGCTTTGGAAATGTTGGGGGTAAGGTGGGGGGAAGACCCTATTATTACATGCTCCTATGATGGTGGGAAACAAGGTGTTAGAGCTCTATGAAATATGTTACGATAATTCCAGGTTTTAGGATCAACTTTTGTTTATATACTGTAATTTAAATAAATTGCATTTACATGCCTAGTTTCTGTAATATTTGTGTATACAATACCAAAAGCTCACAAGATGTAAATTGTGTATAACTGCACAGACTCCTTTCCCTGGGTGTCTGGAAACGTTTTAAGTTTAATTCATATATTATAAAATGACTAGATGTGACTGTTGATTTACAGAATTTACATATCACAAACGTTAATTATTTGTGGTACTTAAGTTAATAAAAATAGTGATTTTTCTGAGTTCTTAAACAGCATTACCCAGTTGATCTGGCAATGATTGTGTATGAGCCACAAATATTGATAATTTTCCCATTACATTTTTTTCTTTTCTTTTTTAGATATTAATATGTTTCTCGCTATAGTTTGTGTAACAACTTGTGTTCACGTTATCTATGTTGCTGTAATTTTTGTGCTTTAATTCCTCTTATTTCGAATTGATTAAAAATCAAGCTCCTGTAACTTGCACTTTCCCCAGTCCTTAATACTCTTGTATGGCAACCAAAATTACTGTAAGAAATAAATATAATATTGCACTAAGGTTGTGGTTCTGATTGCCAACAGTGAAAACTGTCTGAATTTTCATTAAAAAGAAAAGTTGCCAAACTTGAAATCTAATGTTTTTGAAAAAAGCTTAAAATGCTTTAAGTTTATATACCTAACGTGTTAATATTTAGTTGATTGTTAGAAAAATTGTTTGCTCTAGCTTGCCTTTCCCTGTTAAACGTTGATTCATACAGAAGTTTTGAAAAGGAAAAAAATTATTTTTTGCCTTGAGGTGGATTTCAAATAACCATTGATCACTTTTCTGGAATTGAGTTCTGCCTTTATTTTGGTTTTCTCAAATGAGTCCCAATAACCAAGCAAGGAGTCGTTTGTCTGTTCTGAAACTTAGTAAAATCCTGAAAGGGTTTCTGTAGACAAGACCAGCATTAAAAGGGGAAGAAAATAGCAGTGCTTATCAAAGTTCATAAAACCTATGATAAAGACTCTATGATATCACTAGAGTCTAATAGCACTATGGATGAATTGGACTTAAAAGTGGGGAAATTTTAACATTTTAAGTCTTTTTCTTTATCTGTGAATTTTTTCTATCTTTAAATTTTGATGCATTGAAGATTTTTGTTTTTATTTTTTTTAAGATACTGGAAGTACCAGTAATACTTCAACTGCGCTCATTTATATGAGATTCATAACTACTGTTACCTTTCCTCCCTTGGATATTATTCTGTTCCCTCGTTTCTCATTTTATTTCTTTGTTTCTCCTACTTTTTTCTAATATCAAAATGAATTATTTAATGACTTTGTTTTATTAAGAAAACTATTGAGAAACTTGTTTTAATTTAATTTAATGTATTTTACTGATTCAATGAAAAAATTATTTCTGTATCTAAGTATTCATGGGTTTTCACATTAGAAGTAATTGTGCACTGTGCAACTACAGCATGCTGTGGAACGCCTAATGCCACATGGGTAAAGTAATTAATCAGAAGATTTGATCATTGCTACTGTTATCCACATTGTATTGATGTTTTTTGTTTTTTCCTATTGTTCCTGAAATATGTTTCTGCATTACACAGTTGTTACTCTTATGTCCAAAACCAGGAGGAGACATTAGTAGCACTGTACAATCCGGAACAATGAGGTTTTAGTAAATTATATTGCTAAATGATACTTTTAAACACAAAAAAAATGGGGAAAGTGCGCCTTGCATGTTTTGAACCTGATCTTTCTAAAATCATGTTGTACTCAAATGAAAGAAACATATTGTCAATAATGTATTATTGTAGCTGAGAAAGAGTTAGAAAAATCAAACTGCTATTAGGTACTATTCATGAACCCTTTCTCAATCATGGAACTGATTTAAACATCATTTAATTCAAACAAAGTACAATATAAAGAAAAGAGAAATAAGTTGAGTTTCAGTTAATTTCCATTAAATCTATTTCTATACCCAAGTTACTTAGTTGATGTGTACTGTATTTCAATAACAAGCTAAACAAAAATAGAATACATAGTGGACTTCTGCTGTGAAGTATAAAACTACCACATATTAACACATTCCCTTGTGCTGACATCTAGTGGCATTTGTTGGACATAATCTCAGAACAGTATTTATATACAGACATATTTTACTTTTATTTCTTTGGATTTGATTACAATACTTAACTAATATGCATTTTCTCAACAGAAATTCATTCATCTAAACTAATTATTGACAACTGAAAAAGTATGTGAGTCAAAAAACAAGGATGAATCTATCACTGTTTTTCAGATTGTTTTCATGTGATCATGATCCACTTATTTTGTGTTTTAAATGACCCTTCAACTTCAGTAGATTATGGGTAGGTTTTTTTACGTGACAAAAAGTTCAAATGCATTTTGCTTCCAACATCACAAATCTTAGACCACTTTTGAAACATCACATTAGAAACAGCCCAATGCAAGTTTCCCATAAAGACAGCAAAAATCCTGAAGTTCAGTGTGTACAGGGGCTTAGTTCAGTACTGAACAAAAGTAGGCCATGTGCCAAATTTTGCTAGGATTTTGAACCCAAAGTTCAAGCTTTTTTCATGCCTATCTCTACAAAAAATGGGCTTGTGTATGTTTGCATATTTGCATGTACATGCATTCTAATCAGTGCTGCCAGGTGTAAAATAATTAAAATATTTGTACAACAATTTCAACCCTGGTATAATGTATGATCAATAATAGTAAAAATGTGCAACGTTTTCACATTTGATCATTTTTTAGGAAGCTATTTGATGCACTATATGCAAAACCCAAGTCACTCTCAAGAAGTTTTAACTAACTTTTGGGCTTGCTGGGGTTTTTTTGGTTTTGTTTTGTTTTTTATAATTTGTATCCAAGGCCAAATTAGCCAAAACTAATTCCAAATCCAAGAGTCCAGAACCATAAGTGGCCCTACTACTGGCAAACATCCTTCACCCATACCTGGGGCTTCAGATGTTTCCAAATCCTTTGGCGGGCATCCTATTTGCAGGCTCAAGTCCAAAGGCTTGGGGTTGGGATGCCCCTGAGTTTTGCTTGCCCTTAGCCATAAGGCCCTCGGAGCAAGCAAGGGAGGAAACTCCCATTTCCATAAACTGGGCTTAAAGCTGCTGTACCTTGGCGGGTACTGAACCATGCCAGCAGAGCAGTTCTCCCATAGAGCAATTCAGGAAAACTGTCTTCATGGACACAAATACAGGGTATTTCCCCTGCCAGGTTAAGAAGCCACTATGCTTTCTCATGACTGCTTGCCTCAAAAGACAGAAATGTTTCACCTTTGACAAACCAGTTTTCACCCACTCACTGGCAACTTACAGTGCGCAATATAAAGTAAATCAGAAGAAGACATTTAGTGTGCTTATTTGCTTACTTATTTACATCCTTATTTGCATAATTTTAAGTGTATGGTAGTTTTCCAGCAAATACAATATGTTTGAGCTTCCAATACGATAGTTTCATATTTAAGACCTGGCAATGCTGATTCTAATATGTAGCTTCCTGGATAGCTTTAGAAGTTAGTGTGGGAAGTTGCGTGGGAGACGGGCACTTCCAGTGTTGTCATAAACACTGCAGTGTTACATATCCCTATTCCCTTGATATTTTAAAGCAACCTCTGCAAGGAGCTCCTAATTTGTCCTGGATAACATTGGCATTTAATGAATTTATCTACTCATAACTTTTTCGTAACCAAAGGTTATCTTTACTTTGATTTCTCAACTTCTTTAAGCATTAAGAACTGCTTTTAATGAACTGCTTGTAAATCAAGTAGTTCTGAAGTCAAAGGTCTTCACAGTGGTAATACCTCTTTCCTTTTAAACAAGTTTTCTAGAAATCAATTTTATCTTTGCCTTTCGTGTGGACTGAGATGCATGTGTGTCAATTGTTAAGGATTGTCTTGAGGGAGAAAGTTATAGTTTCCTTCTGGCTATATCACTGCTCCCTGTATGTGTTCAGACATATTTGTCAGTGAGGTTAGACCAGTGAGGGGCCAATGTTTTGAACAGGCATACCACAAATAAGTCTCGCAACCTTCCTGAGTGCCACTTTAGTCCCCTTCTCCTTTTATGTTTCACTCTGTTTTGTGCTCCCTGCCTCTGCTGCTTTGCTTTCTGCTTCCTGCCTTATCTGCTGCTGTGCTGTATGTCCCCTCCCCAATCTGCTGCATGCCACACAGAGTGGCTACCAGTGCCATAGATTAGCCACCCTGCTGTAGACTGTGTATAATTTTGCTTGCCCTTCTGACTTCCTCCAATGATCCTAGAAAATATTAAAATATTAGCAGAGATGATTTATCATAGAGACATGTTCTAAGTTCACTGATGCCCCTTTGTGCCAGGCTCTTTTCATGTTGGATTTGTTCAAGGCTCTATAAGGAAATCCCTGACAATCCAAATTAGCAATCAATCTCTCAAATCTGTCACCAGAAGGCAGAAGAACTGATGCAGACCTCTGACCTCTTTTGTGAAATGTGGTTGCGAGTGGGTGCCTGACTGATACAAAGGTGACTGGTACAGAATTAGAAAGGTTGTTTATTGCCTGGTATCTATTTAGTGTTACCAGTTATCAAAACAAAACAAAATTTAAATTTATTCGGATTTCTAATTTGACAAAATGGAGGTGCGTGTTATGTGTTTGTAATTGCTCTCTTATCCTTCTTCAGGAAAAGCTGCAGCTTGCACCATCCATCTACTCCCTTCCAATAGAGTTTTTTTATTAAAAATGTAATTAACCAGCATTGTTTTATGAAGGGAAGTTTTCAAACTAGTGTATATACAGTATTCCAGACTATAATCCATTCCTCTGTTTCATTCAAATGAAAGACATTACAAGCAGTTCTCTAGAAATGTTGTGTTATCTACAAATACAGAAATGAAATACACTGATATTAAATGTATTGCTCAGGGAACTTTGTAATGTGCAGAGGATTTTATTGTGAGGAAGGATGCTTCAAGTGATAATATCGGCAACCCCCTTCAAAGCTTTCTAGCCTATAATTCCTGGACATCTTTACTCTAGGTTCTTAACCCAGAGATGTCAAGAAATCTTCAGTTAATTAAGGAGAGGAAAATTACTGTAACTAAGGTAGTGCATAGATCTTTAAATGGGTAGCACAAACTTGGAAAGTATTGCCAATACTGAGGAAGTTCAGAATATCATACAAGAAGAATGAAATCACTTTGAGGACTAAGGTAACTGAAATAGCATGACATTTAATTGTATAAAGTGTGAGGTCATGCTCTAAGCAGAAGTTAATGTTAGTCCATGAGGCTTAGGAGCTCATCAAATAGCAACAGCAGAGAAGTTTATATGTATTAATTGACTGATCTACCAATGTGATATGGCTGTGGAACAGGCAAATGCCATTCTAGGCTGTATTGGAAAGTGTTTTTTTTTTTATTGGAGGGAAAAGATGCATTGGTGACATTGACTTGAAGGCTTTAAGACTCTAATTAGAGCCACTGACTTGAAGGCGTGACCTCATCAGGGATATTGTATATCATTATGGTTACCCCTTCAAAA